TTCTCTGTCTGTTCAGATGATCGACTGAGGATCTCTGGTTCATCTGGTTCATCTGGTTAATCTGGAAACCTCAGGTTCTACATGTTCCATCAATTTCACAATATTTAACTTCTGTTTCTCATAGATTCTCTTTATCTCATCCAAATTCCATTCAGTGTGTAACAGCTCTTCTTTCTGTCTCAGCAGATCCTCTGGATTGTCTTTTTTTTTTCCTCTCTCTTTTAATTCAGCCTCCACTGACTCAAGCTCCTTCTTGTTTGTCTTTTTTTCATTCTCGACCTTCTCAAGTTGCTGTTTGACATCAACCATCTGCTTCTCCAGCTCTGTCTGCACTGCTTTCAGCACCTTAACTGTCTGTTTCATGCCATCATTCTTTGGTGTTCGACGTTTAAGTAATGATTCTCTTTCCTGTCGTTGATCATCGTCTCTAAGCCCCTGTTCCACGTCCTCATTCTTTGGTGCTCCACGGTCAAGTGATGAATCCCTTTCCTTTGACCGATCACTGTGAGCTGTTTTGAAGATATTCCTACATGCTGATCAACACAGAAACACACAGAACAGTGATATATTAAGATGGCAAACAAGATACAGATCAGGTCAGATGTTTTCTTCCCCGACGGTCTTTTTTGAAACATGAAACACTGTTTAGTATGAACTGCATTGTGAAAATAAAAAACATGATATAATGTTCAATGTGTCCACAGCACAGATTTAAACCTAAAAAATGTCAATAACATCATAAAGCACCACTCAAGGTTTGCACTGAGATATGCAGGTTTGATATCTGATCACTGTGACTTACTGTTGCCCATGATGATGATGATAGATCCTAAAGCACCAACAACTGCTCCAGTGGTGTCAGAAGTCACACCAATGATAATAGAGATCGTTGAGGTGTAACCGAACTGGTCAGTTTTATCTGAAAATCACAACACAAATGTGAAACATTGGACCAGACTGGATGTGGCGACATCATGAAGTCAATCATCACAGTTTCATAGAGAATTTAATTGATCAGTGACTAAACAGTAGCAGAACATTTAATGATCTTTCTGAGCGAATCCTCTGAACCCAAAACTCACCAGCAGGTTGAAACCCGTCTTAGCTTTTAGAAAAAAAAACATATCCAACTTACACTATTCAAGAATTCAGTGATAATTTGGTTGAACTGCAGCCAGTGTTTCCTCAGAGAGCCTGAGAGGAAAATCCAACCTACTGGATCAATGAATAAATGCAGCACGGATCAGAACCAGAGANATATATATATATATATAGACACCACCTAATGAAAACAATTGAATTCAACAGTGTTGGGACAAAGTCGGTAAATGTATGAGATATCTCTCAATAAACAAACAAATCTATTTTTTAAAATTACAGAACTAATGCTCCTTTTGCTGTAAATAGTTAGTAGTGTTACACATTAAAAGTATGAATTCTTAAAGTATTATTCATGATTTTAACAATTTTCATATATATATATATTGTCTTTGCAGCACAGTCACAGCGGATTTCTTCACCTGCGTCAGTCGTCGCTCTGGCTGGTGAGGACGTCCTGCTGCCGTGTCGTCTTCAACCTCCCATCAGCGACAGTTCCATCACCGTTGAGTGGACCAGACCTGGTTTGGACCCGGGGTACATCCACGATCACCAGGTGTATCACAGCCAGAACCCCGGGTATCAATACCGCACCGCTCTGTTTGTGGATCAGCTGATCAATGGAAACGTCTCCCTGAAGCTCTTCAGGGTCAAAATGTCGGATGCAGGAAAATACAGATGCTTCCTTCCCTCGTTACAGATGGAATCCTTCGTCCATCTCTCTGTGGGTAAGAGAACATGCTGCTGTAGATGAACAAAACTTGGCTGAACTGATTTTTTTTTAACATACATCTGTGGTTTAAAATGTGCAGCTTTGTATTTTATGTTCTTATTTTAAATAATTTAAAGACAAAGAAGTCCACTGTTGACTAATTAATGCAAGTTTTTCATGAAGGAGAAGTTCGGTTGATTGTCTTATTTCACAGCTTTAACTATTTTTTCTAACAGTCATGATGACTTTGTAATTAGTCACTGTTCTCCGTACAACGACAATCAGACAATCCCCATCCTGAGTCATCAAGTGATTTGCTAGAACGTCCTCAAAGCAAACCCAAAGTCCTTCTCCACAGCCCCTCTGAACTCCCCCAACACCTGAGTTTTAGCTTCTGCAGTTACAACCCTTTTGGTCGCCCGGAACCTGTCTGCTGCTTCAGGAGACCCCCGAGCCAACCAGGCCTGAAAAGCTTCCTTATTCAGCCTGACAACTTTCTTCACCGCTGGTGTCCACCAGCTGGTTTCAGGTCGCTGCCAGGCACCAGTGACCTTCTGGCTGTAGCTTCTAACAGTCTTCTGCAGTGGAGGCTTCGAACATGGTCCACTCTGGTTCCACGTCCCAAAGCTCCTCAAGGATGCAAGAGAAACTCTTCCAGAGATAAAGCTGAAGACCTCAGGAGCCTCCACCAGACATTCCCAGTTCACCCTCACGACACGTTTGGGTTCACCAGGTCTGTCCAGCAGCCTTCCTCAACATCAGATCCAACTCACCACCAGGTGGAGATCAGTTGACAGCTCTGTTCCTATTTTCACCTGAGTTTCTGAGACATATGACTGCAGGTCAGATGATTGACTACAAAGTCGACCTTCGGCCTAAGGTGCTCTGGTACCAGGGACACTTATGAACCACCTCATACTGGAACATGTTGTTTGCTATGGCCAATCCCTGACTAACAGAAGTCCATCCATCCATCCATCCATTGTCTTCTGTTTATCCTGGGTCGGGTCGCGGGGGCAGTAGGTGGAGCAGGTCGTCCCAGACCTCCCTCCCCTCGGCGACGCTGTCCAGCTCTGCCTGGGGAATCCCAAGGCGTTCCCAGACCAGCCGAGAGATATAATCCCTCCAGCGGGTTCTGGGTCTGCCCCGGGGTCTCCTCCGGGGTCTCCTCCCAGGTGGACGTGTTCGGAAAACCTCCAGAGGAAGCCTCCCCGGAGGCATCCGAACCAGATGTCCAAACCACCTCAACTGGCTCCTTTAGACGTGAAGGAGCAGCGGCTCTACTCTGAGCTCCCTCCGGATGTCTGACCTCCTCACCCTATCTCTAAGGCTGAGCCCAGCCACCCTGCAGAGGAAACTCATTTCAGTCGCTTGTATCCGCGATCTCATTCTTTCAGTCACGACCCAAATCTTGTGGCCAAAGGTGAGAGTTGGGACATAGATGGACTGGTAAAGAGAGAGCTTCACCTTACGGCTCAGCTCTCTCTTCACCACGATGGTCCGATACAGCGCCCGCATTACTGCTGACGTCGCACCGAGCCACCTGTCCACCTCACTCTCCATTTTCCCATCACTCATGAACAAGATCCCGAGATACTTAAACTCCCTCGCTTGAGGAAGCCACTCCCCCCCCACTCGGAGGTGGCAATCCACCGGTTTCCGGCAGAGAACCATGGCCTCGGACTTGGAGGTACAGAAGTCCAGTTCCATTAAGCGGGTTGTTCTTCTCAATTATTCCTCTCTTGGTTTCTCCATAAGAGCGTTGAAGTCAACCAGGAGAACTATGGAGTCCCCAGGTGGAACGCCTTCCAGGAACCACCCAGAGACTCTAAGATGGCCAAATACTCTGACCTGCTGCTTGGTGCATAAATACAAAGAACAGAACAGCACCAATAACATGCTCAGTTTTTGTTGATAAATGTAAAGATTCTGCACTTTATTTTCTGCATCTTAAAACCATTAAAATGAGATGAAGCAGAATGTAAGTTTCTGCTACAAGAATGTGCAACTGTTTCAGGTGTTACCGCTCACATTTCCAGGTTCTGCCTCCTCACCTGAGATCAGTTTAGCAGGACTCGACAGAAGCAGCAGTTCAGTGGTGCTGCAGTGTGAGTCTGCAGGCTGGTATCCAGAGCCTGAGCTGTTGTGGCTGGACGGTGAGGGAAAGTTCCTCTCTGCTGGACCTCCAGAGACAGTCAGAGGTCCTGATGACCTCTATACTGTCAGCAGCAGAGTGACTGTGGAGAAGAGACACAGCAACACCTTCACCTGCAGAGTCCAGCAGAACAACATCAACCAGACCAGGGAGACAAGGATTCATGTTCCAGGTAGAACTAATGACAGAAATGATGCGTTCCAGCTGAGAACAGTTAAGGTTTGGGGATTTGTAACTGCAGTGTTTTCATGGTTTCAGATGATTTCTTCGAGGACTCGTCTAACTGTGCTGCTTCCATCACCTTCAGTGTTTTCGGCCTCATGCTTGCTCATGCAGTTGCGTTTTTTAACTGGAAACCAAGGCAAAACAAAACCAGTGAGTCACAACTGTGTTTGTTATATTCAAAAATGCATTTTGTGTCAAAGCTCTTGGTTGATGAAGCTAAAATGAAGAAATGAATCAAACGACAGTGATAAAAGTTCATCTGATGTTCACAGATAAAAATGAAAATTTAGATTTTTCAAAATGACTGCAAATATATTTAGAAATGAGGTTCTTGTTTTACTGCATCTTCACACAGAGAAACAAAACAAAGAGAAGAGAAATAAAAACCTGCATATTTCAGTGAAAAACTCTGGTGTTCCTTGATGATGATATTGACAGTTTTTAGGTTTAAATCTGTGCTGTGGACACACTGAATATTATGTTGTGTTTGTATTTTCACAATGCAGTTAATCTTAAACAGTGTTTCATGCTTGAAAGAAAAGAACGTTGGGGAAGAAAATATCTGATCTGAACTGAATCTTGTTTGCCATCTTAATATATCACTGTTCTGTGTTTATCAGTGTGTTGTATTTTCTTCACAACAGCTCANTCAAACTCTGGATCCCTTCTTCCATTTGTTGGACTTTTTTTCATAAGATGATGAAGCTCTTTAGGAAAATGGAAACATCAGCTCTTAAAATTTAGTGTTTAAACTTGTAGAGTTATGATGTGTGTTCTTTGGATATTTTTGTTGTTTTCATTTGAATTCTCTTTTGTTTCTCAGTAAAAAAATGATTTTAAAAAATTAAATAAAGATTCAGTTTAATTTCTATATAACGTTTTCTGTGTGACATTTAATTTACTGATTAAAAAATATGTCTGTGTGTATTTAAACATTGAGAAGTGGTAGTTCAATTTTTTAAGATGTTAAAATCAGTCAAAAGTTTACATACACTTGTAAAGAGTTTGTACGTTTAATCACAGCAGTCTTCAGTTTCCAGTGATTCCTATAAGTCCTAGTTTTCTATGATTGAATCATTGAAACACATGCAGCTTTGGCACCAAAAAAAAATCCCAAACAATCAGTATTCTGTTTTTTTCATAGATTTTTCTGAAGGTCTTTTGGAAAGATGAAAAAGTCTGCTGGTCATAAGTTGGAGTGTCCTGCACTTCCTGTGGACACTGCCTGCAGTTCAGCACAACAGTCCCTGACTTCTTCTTGCTTGACTGTTGTTCCAACTTGAGTCCAACATGGCTTCACCGTTGGACCAACATTTGCAGAATGTTTTTAGTAGACAGAAAAAAAGGAAACAAGCAACAAACCAGCAGCAAAAGAAAGAATATTCAGATAAAACCACATCAATCATCACGTTGACGTGTTTGAAAGAAGAATCTCTTCTGAAACTTTTCAGCTTTAAAAGCTTTCAGTGTTTTCTTGTTCACCACAGTGACTCCAAAATATTAAAAAATCATCAATGTAGTGAAGAAAATACATCAACATGTGACCGGATTTCATTTCACAAAAGGAAAGATGGATGTTGTAAATAAAAAGACAAACACAGAGTTTTCTTGCTGCTTACCTGTCGTGCTGCTTCAGGGTTAAAGTCCTTCATAAAGTCACGTGTACTTTTACAACAATGCTTGTTGCTGGTATGTGTGACAAAGTGTCGGCCAGAAGGAAATAGATCAACGGTATGTTAATAATAAAGAAAACAAGTGGAAAACAGATCAGATTTGGAAACAGCCTGTTAGCTGTTTGTTAACTCTTTGAACAACAAAACCTGCTGACAGGTTTGTAAAACGTGTTTTTATTATTATTGTTAGCATTTTTTTTTGAATTTCAGAATTCCACCGTTTATCTGAAACAAACAGAAAAGGGTGTGATTCTACACGTCCCCTTTGAAATTTTACCAAAAATAAACCATTTGCTCAAACCAGATCCTGTAGAAATCAAAAATGTATTTACTTCTTATTGCATTTGACAAGACTTGAGGTTTTAGGCTGATCTGCAGGCAGTGTCTACACAGAGCAGAGAGGAGACCAGTCTGGAAACAAACTGGAATTTAAATGTGCCCCCAGTTCCTATCAGCAGTTCTGCTGATTTTAGGTTTTCCTGAAGAACATGGAGGTGATCCTCCTCCTTCTTCATGGTTCCATGTACTTTGAGTAAAGCTCCAGGTCCACTGGCAGCAGAACAGAACCAGAGCATGATGCTGCCACCTCCATGCTTGATGGTAGGTTTGGTGTTTTTGGGGTTAAAGGCCTCACCTTCTCTCCTCCAGACATGGTTCTGCTCATTGTGGCCAAATAGATCAGTTTTTTGTTTCACATCTTGTGTTTTCTGGGTGATGTGTAATTTGTTTAATATAAAATGTGACTGTGTGCATTTAAACAGTTAGAACCAACGGGCTGCTGTTTAGTAAATACAACAGATCTGCTCATCTGTCAAAACCTGCTCAAAATTCTGTTGGTTTTTTTTTGTTTGTTTGTTTGTTTTTAAATTGATATGATATCAGAACACAAGAACATATAACCCACATAATGCCATGAAATAAGTCATTTCAGTGTTACATATGAAATTCTTTTGTAAACATTTTAAAGCTAATGCAAATTGTCATGTAAAATTAAAGCTAGAAAATGTTAAAAAGAAAGAAAAAAAAGAAAACAGACTAAGGTGCTCCAGAAATAACCTCTGCACAGTCATTGTCACAACAGTTGGTTGAGCCGTAGTCTCATGTGGTAATATTTAACTCGTAGGTGAGTCATAAAAAATAAAACGACCAATCACATCAAGGTTTATCCAGATATGAAATCATAAAGGATCATAGAGAGGTCAAAGTTTTTCAGGACGGACTGAGAGCAGCTTTGTTCAAAGGTAAGCTGACTTCAAATTATATTAAAATCACAATGTGACAGAAATGAAATCATGACTTTTTGAAGAAGTTGCTGTACGACTACATGTTTTTATTCTTCTATTTTTTTCTGGTTTACTGCTGCCTGATATGTTTAACAATTCAGTTGTGACAGAACAAACGAAGCGTGGATCATGTCGGCTGTTGTGTCTTTGGTTTAATAAAAACCTCACATATGTCAGGAATCACACTGATATCAACTGTTTCTGTACTTTATCACTGAACTGCAGCACATTATGACTGAATTCTTCCTTTCAGTTCCTGTGTTTGAGATTCTTTGCTTGATCTGAATTGATGCAGATCTTTCTGCTGCTTTCCAGTTGAGAAATGGGGTGACTGTAAAATATTATTTATTAGACAAATATCTCAGATTATTTTAAAGATGTGGGCTGAGAGGTCAGATAAGTGGCCCATGGGGGGAAATCCTTATTCTGAATTCATTTTTTCTGAATTAAGTTTAGATTAAACTAAAACAACTGAATGTTTTTTTTAAAATTTTGTTCTCAGGAAGAAATGGATCTGTTCAGCGGGTTTGGATTCTGGCTGTTTGTCCTCTACAGCCTCCCAGTGACTACAGGTAAACTGGTGCACCAGTAAAGCTTCAGAAACTAAGACATAAATACAGCTGAGTCATAGAGCGACTGTAAGAATAAGTTTCTACTCTGCAAAAACAAATAATCCTGAAAGAAAAAAAGAAACAAAACACTGAACATCTGTCAGCACGAAACTGTGAAAACTTCAAAAATAACTGTATTACAATTAAACATTGGATTGTATTTGCTCAATATTATGTGTAATTTAACAAAACAATTCAGCTCCATACAAAAACATTTAAAATATATATCTCAAGAAAATCAAGGGAACACATCCAAGATCTCTATGGATGAAACATTCCAGTTAAAAATCTTTATTCATTACATAGTGGATTGTGTTGAGAACAAAATAACATAAAAATGATCATTGTAAATCAACATTATGCCATGAAGGTCTGGATGTGGAATCACACTCAAAATAGAACTCAACTCAGCTTTGTTTTTCAAGTACTTAAACACAACAAAAGTCGAAACAAAGTGCTGAACACAAAATATAAAACAATTTAAAACATCTAAAATGCAAAATACAATAAAATTATAATGAAATCATTGAAGGACAATAAGAACAGTAAAAACAGTAAAACAGGAGTCTCATGCCTGGTTGAAGGCCAGGGCATAAAAATGAGTTTTCAGACAGGTTTTAAAAATGCACAGTGATGGTGTTTCTCTGACTAGCAGCAGCAAAGAATTCCAGAGCCTTGGAGCTGCGAAAAGTGGAAAATCACATCACAGGCTGATCCAACTTCAGTGGAAATTCCTCCAGACAAGTCAAAGTCAGGCTCACTTGTGTGTGGGCTGTAAGCACAAGCCCACTGGTGGACGTCAGGCCCTCAGACCACCTCATGGAGTCTGGTTCTGACAGTTTGAGCAGAAACATGTATATCAGTGGCCTGCTGGAGGTCAATCTGCAGCTCTGGCAGAGCTCCTCCTGGTCCTCCTGCACAAAGGACGAGGTAGCATCCTGCTGCTGGGTTGTTGCCCTCCTACAGCCCCCTCCATGTCTCCTGGTGTACTGGCCTGTCTCCTGGTATCTCCTCCAGGCTCTGGACACTGTGCTGAGAGACA